GAACCACTACACAAATGCTTAATGGATCCGATGTGATTAATCAGTTTAGGCAACAAACAGAAACTTTCAGTTTTACCTCTCGACACCATACACAGAGTTCCATTTTGCGACAGATTAGTCTTCAGGTCAAGGAAATCTGTCCAAATTTGTTCGTAAGCAGTACCGTCCAAGAATACTTTGCACAATCCGAGAAACAAGGATTTGTCGTTCTTTAATGCAGATTCACAGAATAAGGAAAAAATTAAAATACTGCGTACCGATTTATTGGACTGCGCTAGCATGGATAAAAATGGATGACAAATTTGAGACATCTAGGATATATATCAGCCCTATGGGAAAAATGACGCCCGTTTGTCTGCTCATTAGATAGGCATGACAGCAATCAGGTATTTTTTAATAAACTACTAAGCAGAGTCCGCGTTTTTGCGAAAAATAGTCAGAAAAATCTTCAATCATCCGCTTCTTTTATGACATGGAGCATAACCTTGGTCAGGGCACGTAAAACGCTTCTGAAGTAGTTGGTAAAATTCTTCCCTTTGGTATGGCAAGCCATAGTTTTGTTCTCCGATTGGCTGCATACAGTATCCATCTGTGGAGATTCAATCTCGAGACAGTCGATAAAATGTTGGAGTTTATCATGCGTGTGATTTCCTGTGTGTTCGCATGATAGCACAAGGCCGAGCAGGAGTGCAAAGCAAACAACAAATCGATACATTTGATTGAACCTGAAATGCAAAGTTTACAATAACGGGACGTGTAGATGACCTTAAAAATTAAGGTACAGTGCAGCGCCCGGGGTTGGTGTGCGATAACACGTTATCCATAAGCAGTCCCTCTAGAAATACAGTTATCCTCCTCTGTTTTGTTCTTTTCCCCAAAGGGTGATGTTCTGGTAAAGACAAGCACTAGTTACTAATCTGTCCTACAAGAAATCGCCTCGAATGGGGCCTACTTCTAACCACTATCTTGATTTGGTTTTCTCAGAGACAGCGACAGCTCTAGCATGCTGATTTTTCTAGCAGACTTGTGGGATAGCAATTAGAAATACCCAATCACGCATCTCTGAGTGTACAAAAAACGAGTCCTTTTAAATGCAAAGTCATTAGGGACAAAAGTATCGATCGGATTATACACATACCTTGTTTAACACAATTTATGCACAAACATTCGAAATTCTGAGGATGGGCGGTTGTGAACAATGCTCGGAATAACTTGATTTTGGCAAAATATATATGAAACAAATGTGTGACATATCAGTGGCATTACAGTGAGATGTTCCATTGAGTTTCGGTTGTTGGAATAGGACAACTGATAGATGTCAGCTATCATCACAGAATTTTCACCAATTATTTAGCCTTTGTCTTAAGAAGGAAGCCTCTCGGTAACTAGGATTTATTTCATGAAATCCAAGAGTTGATTGCAGCCAGAGTTGACAGGTATTCATTTTGCATGGAAATAACGCCAAAGATAAGTCTGGCGATGAGCAGGTATTTCTCTCATCTAGGCAACTGAGCGTTGGACCCAAGGATAATACAGAAATTACAGTTCACAGAAAGGAAATGTGGTGATCAGTGGATGATTGATTGAGTTTTGCTTACAACATAGGGTGTCAATTTTCAAATCCTGGTTTCATGATATTTCCACAAATTTTGGGTTTTAATTTGGTCCGAAGTATGTAGGAAGAGATCATCCTTATCGCCGTCATCATTGACAGCATAACAGTGCTTAACACTGATGCTTCGCTGTCGTACAACCACGATTTGTTTGAAAGCCTTATTGTGAAGAATAGAACAAAAATGACAGAGGAACTGACTTGGTGCTACCATAGTAATCCAGACACTCATTAAGGCAATCAGGATAGAAAGCGACAATTGAAAAGCCACTGATGTCGATTCGCATTCCATCCTTCAGCGCCCCTAACCGGGCGCAGTAAGGATAACACGGTCCCAGTCCTCGAAGGCGATTACCACAGACAACATTATGATTTGTAATATCGTTCCTAAACCCCTGCCAGGTCAAAGTTTAGCTACCTCTGTGTATTCGTTGCTATGACTTGGGTACACAAAACACCACCCTCTTCTGTGAATGATGATTTGGTGTGCGCACTAGATGACTCAACCAACGCAGCTTTTGTTGCTGGGCACTTTCTTCACGGAAATTCCCGTTGCCCCACCCCACACAATCACTTGCTTCGTTTTGGCCTTGCCACTACAAGACTACACGAGCTGTGCTTCCGAGACAGCAGTCTTTGAAATCTGAAAACATCCTAGTTGCACTGTTCGAAAAAGCCAAGTCTCACAGTCGTAAAACAAGACATCCCTAACTGTATCCTGATACAAATGTCCTTCGAGATTCAGGGACACTACACAGATGTCTCAAATTAGAAAACGTGACCCAAGCCTTGCAGATTCATGCATTAACTTCATCTGTCAAACTAGAATTGGAACCAATACAACGTCCAAAATACGTGAAACGCTCCGCAACTTGCTGTGCCTATCCCTGGGTTCTAATAAGTGTGTTCAGCACGACCAACAGTTAGTGAGTACGAAGCGCATGTCAAACGACTGGTCTTGATTTTCTCGGTTCATCGAAATACACCTGGGCGAAACCGTTCGTGGGCTGCCAAAGAGTTTTCAGCAACCTTGTGAGTAGTTTCCTTTATGAAAACACCTGTGCATTCTTATTCTCTATGAAGAGGTAAACAGCGTCGTCTGCATGCTGCTTACCTGCAAGTTTGCAGCAGTGGCTATTTGAACACTGGGGTTTTGAAGACCTAACAGTATTTCGTCTCATTGTCTCCTCAAACAATTTCATCATTTCTTTGAGTCTGACAGCTTTTATAAGATTCTCTCTCACATGCCATGAAATCTGCTAACAGAATGTGTAAACAGATTACGTCGATAAACTTCCGTGGCACCTTCTCATGGCCAAGCATGTTAAAAAGATCTTATAGAATAACGAATTCAAATGCGACGTTGAAATCCAGGGATGTAATTAGTTTCTAGCACCTGAGAGTGTGAAGAGTTGATCAATGCAACCCTCCCCAGCCCGGAGTTTTACTTGCTGCCCTCGAGTCAATGTCGCTTCTGCCTCCGTGGAGCGACGGAGGAGACGTGACACCAAGAGTCTCGTTACAACTGGGGTCAACCGAATAACCCTTGTGCTTAATTCACCAACTGTAGTTCATTTTTTTGGAAATGTGCTCTGTCGCGGATTCTCCACATTTGTCTAGGACACTGGTTTTTTCGGCCAAGTTTAAATATATATGTTTTTAAAATTTTTCAAATAAGTCCTGTCTGTATACTTAGGTTTCCTCTTAAAAACAAATTTTCTCAAGTCAACCACCTACCTGCATCGCTGAAATAAAAAATTTTCCTATTGGAATCCACCTGGCAGCAATCGTAGAAGCTTCATTCACGCCTATTACTTACCTTAAAATACCTGCTAGTTGAGAATGATTCTTGCCTTGCATTTATACTACATTTGGTATCGGTTCAGTCTTTTCAGTTCACTGACAATGAAGTAGATGCGGGCTGTCATTTGCGAACATTAAGAGCTTGATATGCTGTCTCAATTCTAGTGAAATTGTCTCATCAGTTTCGTAGCCACGCGTCAAACGCCTAAGTCATTTGTTCGCAACCATTTTAAAGCACCCCATAAGTCACAGAAGACTTTTAATTAAGAACTCGTCATTCACGATACCAGATGGCGAGTGATAAAGTGTAATGAAAGCGGTGTTTTAACGATCGTTGGTGCTGTGTTCTGTACAAGTGTGGGTAAATAAATCAAATACGATAAAACACCAAGTGCACTAATATAAATCTTTCAGCGATCACTTGTTTCGCCCATATGATACAGGTATTTCTTTCTATAATTCGGTACGCACCGAATTTGTCTTCAATGTGAAGAGTGATATACACTTGTAAATGAAATTACAGGGAAAGCAGATAGATCCGCGCTACATCCAGGAATGAAAAACTAAGAAATATGTACCGGACAACCTTAACGGCGACAGAGCAATGCAGAATACACTATTGTTCTCTGCAATCGACAAAATTAGTCAGTTGAAAACTAATTCCGCTGGATTATCGTAGAGCCATTCTCTTCTGGACTGAAATCACAGGAGATATTTTCTAAAACGGATTGCTTTTGACTGATACCTTTGGCTATGTAGAGAACTCAAAAATATTACATAAAGTTGGTCCTGCGAATACTCAGACTCTGGGTAAACGACTGCCAGTTCGAGATGAAGCTAACTTTTGGTTTCGGCGCGGACAACATGAAGTCATTTTCAGAGCCAAACGAAGAAAAGTTTACTTGCTCCTAAGAACCCAGTTTTGATCAACGGGCGGTTGTGCCCCTACTCTGGGGAAAAGTGCCGTATTTGGCAGAGTTCACACAACCGAAATTCTACAATGTCTGTTTGTCGTATACTTGGCGGTTTTGTAGTACAAAAGGAGGAAATGCTGACTGAATTCATGAAAACAAGTAACCATAAGGAAGTCATCCTAGAGGAAACATGCAAGAAATCATCAATTATTGTCTTATTGTTTCACAAAAGAAACTACTCACATACTTGCTGAGATATCTCGAATATCTTACTGATTAAAGCACAAGGGGGTCTTTGTACAGCACATTCAGTTGAATACTATCATAAACGAGAGATTTACTCGAGTCCGTCGTTGAAACCAAGTCGATATGTAAATGAGTGCATTTGCCGAGAAAACTCATTCCGGTAATTTTCAAAATATTGGCGGCTCGAGTGCTTTTAATGGTTACTGACCAAACGTTTCTTCATAAAAAAAGGAGACCTCATCAGTATGCAGTTAGGTGGGAGTGTTGGTGCAAACATCACACTGCAACATTCCGGAAAGTCAAAGTAAAAATTCAAATACTTTATCGGTGAGTCTGGGCACTCAATCAACAACGGAAGACTATTTTTGAAGGAACTGAGGGAGGAGGTGTTGACCAGATGAAATTAAATTCTCATTTGTTGTAAGATCACTCTACAATCTGCAGATCCCGATTTTGCCAAGACAACTGTGGCCAAAGTATTGGATGGTCGCGGCCTACTAGCGGAAAAGAAGGCCTATGGTAAATGCTCAACTTGCGTCTGAAACNGTGCTGTTATCATCAGAATGAATGAGAAGCAGCGAGTAATCCAGCAGACGGACAACGGTTTTGAAGACATCAAGTTCACACTCGATGAAGACAACAACAGAAGACTGGCAATTTCGGACTTCCTCATTACCAGATCGCCAAATGGATAGCCACAAAATGAGGCCTTCATAAGAACAACGCATTCAGACAAAGTTCTGAGCTATCACGACAACCTCCCAAATTGTTAAGAAGGAAGCTACTCTCGGACACTCTTCTAGCGGATGGAGACACATTGCAACACTCCAGAATCCGAGATTATGCAGAGAAATGAATTACAGTTGGAGAACGCTCAGCAAGCAAAATAAGACCACCACAACAGCTGAAGCGGGAGAAAGCACATCACACTCGCATACATGAAAAACATCGTGGGAACGACTGTAGGGCTTCTGGAATGACATAACACACCGGTCGTCCACAAACTTGCGAACAGTTTGTAAAGAATAATGTCAAAACTGAAGAAACATTGAACTCGGTGGCTAAGAACAATGTCATATACGGAATCAAATGCAAGGATTGTGATAAAAGCCAAATAGGACACACGCAAACGAAGCTTCGACCAGACCAAGTGGGCATGAATTTGCCGCCAGACAGGAAGGACTAGTCTTTTCCCATTTCAGTGCACGAAGATTCGGAAGAAAACAAGCTTGATTGCAGCAGCATTCACCTACTGATTCATACAAGAACAAAGTGCGTAAACCAACAGAGACATAGCACTTTACCAAGGAATCCACCAACAAGCGTTTCAGAATGGACTACATTTATCAACCACTAGGAACAAGGGAACACCAGACCCAGAGCTCAAATCTTCACAAGCCACCAAACGAAAACTTCATAGAAGAAGCAGGACGATTCAGTTTTATTGGGGCAGTCACCTAACCAATAAATCAATGTACCAAATTAGTCGATCGACGCAAGGGAACAAGCAATTGTAAGTGAGGAAGTAAGATGGTGCAAGCGGCACTCAGTCTCGAGATGCAGTACTGCAGTGAACGCGGAGATGGTGCAAGCGGCACTCAGTCTCGAGATACAGTACTGCAAAAAGTGAACGCGGCAGTCAAAAAAGGAAAATTACTCGGACTAAAAGGTGTTGGAACAACCAGCCCGATCCAGGAAATGCAGACCACAACTGAACGGAGACCACAAAATGTGAGATCATGATAAAACCGTCCTACAATTGGGCCCTCGTTAGTGGATAGCCAAACACCTACAGGTAAGGAAGAAAGGGCCACCTGACTGCACACTAGTGAGGTCTTCCCGTTCGGTGACAAAAAGTTCGCAGGTTGATTTCCAAGCTCAGTGAACAGATCAACTGATCAACCTCATCAGATATCAGTACACGCACACGCGACCCACCAATATTTCGTCACATTACCAAGAGAGGTTACTCTTTGCCTCGGTTTTAGTTACCTGTTGCCATGGAACCAGGCAGCATTTCTAATGACATTTCCTGAACTACATGTCAATTTTTCGGTGTATGTTTCATTTGATTGCGACTTCTTGGCCATTCTAATTGTATCCACATTTTTTCTTACGGCTGTCTGCCTTTTTTAGCCACGAGTTTGTTCAAACCTAAGTTTGAAGTCTAAGTTTGAAGTCTTGAGTTAAGGTGATCACTGTCAATGGATTCCCTGGGAACTTCTTGCCATACGAGTGCGAGTTTTACATCAAGCTTTTCTTTCAGTCCTTTCTGACACCATCTCCTAGGATCGTTATATTGTGGAGATGGACCTTTTCTCTAAAAGACCATGTTCCCCAACCATGCAATTAATTCCAATAATTTGACGAGTGAAACACCAGTTTTATTTAAAAACTGGCCCTCCTATTCTTCACCGGGAACTGTCTGCTGTATCCAATGAAACGTGATATTTGATTATTCCCGTTTATCTCTACAGAGCCAGAATGTTCAAAATCTATTTTCAGCCACACTGGTTCAGTTCAAAGGACTTTATAACTAATGCT